TAAATGCTTGCTGGGTTCGCGCATACACCAACAGGAGCTGGCTGTGGAATGATTTTACGAATGATAACGAGCGGCTTCCCGCACAGCTGCGATACGGATCATAATTTATCTTTGCAGGTGGGGAGATAATCAGAAACAAGACAGGCCGCCGATCGACTGGAGTATGAGCCTCTAATGAGAACACACTTAATCAATTCATCACGATGGCATACTTGGACATCAGTAACTCAACCTTCAACAGCTGCCCAAATCTAGGTCGGAGCAATCACCTTATCCCACTTCTAGTAACTCTGCCCTGTGGCGTATTTTTTGCCTTTAAAAAACCGTCACGAGGAAGCAACTCCGCTCATAATCCTGTTTATAGTACACTTAACACGTCTTGATGGAACTTGAATTGTAGAAACGTGAGGAAAAGGCGGAACTCTGACAGAAAAACAGCCTTCAAAAGCTGCCCAAATTTAGGCCGGAGCAATCACCTTGTCCTAATTTGAGTAACTCTGTCCTGTGACGTTTTGTTTGCCTTTAAATAACCGCCGCAAGGAATCCTATTTATAGTAGTCCTAACACGTCTGGATGGAAGTTGAACTGTGCGACGAGTCTATTCCAGCTGAGTAGAATCGCATTGAAATACAGGCTGAAGTTATCATCTTATCCTATTTTTAGTAGTTCTGCCAAAAGACGTAACATCAACCTTTAAGTAACATCCACAGGGAATTGAATGCATGCAGTATTCTATTTATAGTTGTCTTCGCACATCTGGATGGAAGTTAAACAGGGGGAGGAGACTATTTCAGCTGATTAGAATGAAGCTCAAATATATACAGCAAATTCCCTATCTCATTAAATGTCAGCCGAAATTGTGAAAGGTGTTTTCGATTCGAACATATTACTGAAGTATGGTTGCGATATTGGTTTCCATGCAACTTGCTCTCAAAATGTTACAGACATATCAGGATGCTTGCTTTCAAATGAGTTTCATTTTGGCTACCTGCCAAAAGTGTAGTCTGGAAAAAGGCCCCTTAATTAGCATGCATTTGCCTCCTTGATCTTCAACGCTCTAATAGATTCAATTCTATATGATAGAAAAAATGCACAAAAATATTGTTTCTGGTACACGTTTGGTAGCAAATTACTTCTTAATATGCTATGTATATAAATATTTTATCTATTTTAAAAATTTTCTAATCATGATATGTTTTACAACCATGAAATTTGCAGCGAATTTGTCTATTCGCTAATGCTGCTTATAAATTTTATAAATTGATCCACGTCCATAGCAAAAGTCATGAGAACTATATGAAGCCTTCGTCACACCGCAGACAAGTATTTACTTATCCTAAGATAGAATGCTTACGGCATGTATTTTGGAGATATCACATTCAAATATAACAGCCAGTAGGGATCAATATTCTTCGAAAATATAAAAACGTTTTTCAAGACGAAATGATAGCCCTTCTTCAAGCATAAGATTTTTAGGAATAAGTAATTTATTATTAAACGATAACCAGAAATAGTGCTTTTTGCATTTTTTCTATCTCCTATATTCAGATTTATTAGGACCTTGAAAATAAATTAGGACCATGCATACAACTTAAGTAGCCATTTTTACAGAATAATATTCATGCTGGTTGTCAGAAGGAAGCTCGTTCAAAAGCTAGCGTCCTGGTGTGACTGTAACAGTTTGAGATTAAGTTGCATGCTTATCAATATTACAAACATACTTAATTAATATGCTCAAATCGAAAGCACCTATCAGACTTTCGGCTAAGGAATTGACGCATAGGGTATAACTAAGAAACGATTAGTGATACCGCTGAATGATCTTTACTAAGTATTTTTCGCCTTACGAGTCTTTACCAAGGCTTCCTGGTCGCCTGGTCGGAGACTGATGACAGCTATTAAGCCAACATGTCCCATGCAGTCTCGCCCATGGATAAATATTGGGCAGCAAAAGCTCCATACCCCCTGCCCTGGAGGAATGCAGGCTACGTCACTCCTGATAAAGGGTGTGGTGGCGACTTTCTCGACCAACCAACCTCTGCTTATCTCGCGTACCGTGACAGCCATCACTTGTTTGCATATACATTGACGATGATAAGTGGAGAAACG